TTTTTATGAGGAAGTAAAAAAGGGTTTAGGGGTCTTCTTTTTTTTTTTTTAACCCATTCAGCCAGTCTGTGTCTTTTTTTTTTTTTGGAGAGGTTTTTGCTATAGGGCGTGTGCGCTCGCCAGACAGACAGAGAGACAGGAGACAGAAATCACCCCCCAGGGGGGATGGTCACGCCACAATCCCTTCTCCTCTATTCTCCTCTCGGGATCTTGGGCATGCACACACACGCACCTGGCATGAGTTTAACCACCGGGTCCGGGACTCGAACCACGGTCGGCTACGTGGGAGTCCAGCAACATAGCCATTATGCTAACTGCTGGTCCCGCCAGTCTGTGTCTTTTAGTGGGAGAATTTGATCTATTAGCATTCAACATTATTATCAATATTTGCAGACTTATCTCTGCCATGTTGTTAGTCATTTTATTAATTGCATTGTGTTGTCTTATTTCTATATGCTGTTCTTTTATATTCATAATACAATATTCCCTTTATTATTTCTTTAAGAGATGTATGCATGCATGTCCAGAATCCCAAAGGGAGAATGGAAGAGAAGGGATTACAACATGGCCATCCCTCCTGGAAGTCATTTCTCACTTTCTGTGTATCTGTTTCTCTGTATCTCTGGTGAGCGCATGAGTCCTATAGCAAAAAACCTCTCACAAAAAAGAAAAAAGAAAAAAAAAAAAAGAAAGAAAGAAAGATAAAAATGGTCTAGTGTTGGTAAAGTCTTTCAGTTTTGTTTTTGTATTTGTTTGTTCGTTTGTTTAATCTAAAAATAATGTCTCATCTGTTCTTCCAATTTGAAGACTAATGTTGCTGGGTATAGTATTCTTGTTTGAATTTTTTTCTTTAAATATATTGTATATATCTTCCTAGTCTTTCATTGCTTGAGTTTTTTCAGTTAAGAGGTCTGTTGTTACACTAGTAGGATAACCTTTGTAAGTAAATTAATGCTTCCCTTTTACCATTTTTTGAATATCATCTTTGTCTTTCGTTTTTACCAACCTGGCTATGATGTGTCATGGGGAGGATTTTCTTTTCTTTTTTTGGAGAGATATTTTGTAATAGGGAGTGAGCGCTCACCAGAAAGACAGAGAGACAGAAAGCGAGAAATCACCCCCCAGGGGGGATGGCCATGCCGCAATCCCTTCTCTTCCATTCTCCTCTCGGGATCTTGGGCACACATGCACATGCACCTGGTGTGAGTTTATACCACCGGGTCCAGGATTCGAACGGTGTCTGACTACATGAGAGTCCAGCGACATAGCCATTACACTAACTGCTGGTCCCATGAGGAAGATCTTATGTTGATTTTATTTGGTATTCTTTGTATTTTCTGGCTCTTGATCACTTTTATCTTTTTTTTTTGCCTTATTTTTATTTCTTACTGTACTTAAGACCCTCCTCCCCAGGATTATATTACACAGAAAGTACTAGTGGGC